ACAAAAAAAAAACATTTAAAAAAAACAATGTTTTACTTACAATAAGGCAAGATATTACACAATCTAAACGTTCAAATAAATACTTAATTTTACATCAATCCCTAAATTTAATGACAGCAATAGTAGAGGCAGTGCAAGCGGCGGGTAGAAGGAAATGGGCCTACTGTCGGACAACCATGGTCCTTCGTCGTCCGAAGCCACGACGAAGTTGTAAGACTAAAATTACGTATTTGTAGATCGAAGCAGCTTATTGTGATTTTTTTCCTAGGTGGTCTTGCTAATAATAATAATAACAATAGTAATAATAATAATAATAATAATAATAATAATAATAATAATAATAATAATAATAACAATAAGCAGAGTGTATAATATGTAGCCTTTTTTCTGCATTATTATTTTTAAATAATTAATTAATTTTATTTCACTTATTTATTTATTTATTTTTATGTATATTTATTTTATTTTATTTTATGACAGAACTGGTCCCCACCCACCCACGTCGGACTTGTTGAACACCGTCGTTAATTTCCAACACTGTTTAACAACTGTGAACAACATCCCATCAATAGCTACACAAAGAACAGAAGACTTAGTCAAACCATCCATCCATTTGAACTGACTAAACTAACATCTTGCATATATACGGTCAAGTACAAAATAGGCCTATTACAGGCCTGTTGTATTTTTTGATACAATATTATAATAAATATCAATTAAAACTTTAATCTCTGGATAAAGCAGAAAACAAAAGAACTTACGTTTTAAGCTTTCGACTATAACTAAAACGTAAGTTCTTTTGTTTTCTGCTTTATCCAGAGAAGTTTTATTTGATATTTATTATTGTCAACCTAGATAGATGAATCTACATCAGTCGACAATATTATAGTTAATAATTACCTTTCCCCCATAACATCTGCTGAAACTTTATACAGGCCATCAACGAATTATAATTTTAGTCCAAGAGAAGCAGTTATCATTCTATAGATATCCATCCATATCTCCTTGTAGGCCTACCTGCTGCAAAAAGCAATTTCCAAATCTGGCTGTGGTGAGTTCCCGGATGAGTTCTGTTTCATAACGCTGACATGTTTTGAAATCAAATTACAGAGGACCTAGCGCATGTGACCACAGTGATGTGACCGTGAACATTGTTTGCACAAAAAGCCAAGGACGAAAACCAGCTATTAATGTTTTGCTAGGCTACTATTAAGGTTTCAGTCCGATTCCATGCTACTACTGCTTTCACAGCAGGCTATAGACTTGCATGTACACTTCTGAACATATAATTCAAAGCTTTAAATTTATGGCCATTGGCGATTTCATTCCAACTCATGATTAGCCAATAGGCAGTCGATGTTAACTCTGTAATGTGCTTGCCTTGTCATGTGTACGTATGCCATGGAGTTCAAATTCAAGTATCACAATTACCTTTATAAACACAACGCTATCGCCATGTCATGTGAAGGTATGTCATGGAGCTCAATAACTCAGACTAACATAGATTGTAGTTTCCATGTGAGGTAACGAGGGCCTCCATGTTTATTCTCCATATATCAAGATAGAGGGCAGTATATGCCTTAGTGGTATTATCATGACAGTGCTAAATGTTCATTTGTTAGGAACAGCAGAAATTATCAAAACTAACGAGTGATAGCCACTGTGTACACATGACCATTAGTGGTCTGGCTCTGATTGTATGTACAATAGTTAAATAGCTTCATCCGGACGGGCTTATGTACAATAACAGCCATTGAGGCAATCGGGGCTGTCCTGCTCAATTTACTTTTAAACAACATTAATGTGGACTCGTTTTAGGCGTAACAAATATTGTGCACCAAATATAAACTTATGGGCCCATATACAAATATATATAATGCTGACCTACAAAATAATGTGGACCCATTGGGTGTCTATAAAACGAAGATAGAAGACCGAAGACCCAAAAACGAAGACCCCTATTTTTTCTCTTTCATTTTGATGATAATAAGCCAGGCTGTCACAAAACTTATTTCTCAATTATCTTATTGAAAGTGTTTCAAAATCATCATAAATCAGTTGCCAAGTACATATTTCATTATTTTATCACGATTGGGAGAAACAAAATGTGGGTCTTCGTTTTTCGGGTCTTCGGTCTTCGTTCTGTAGACACCCCACATAGGGTGTCTATAAAACGAAGACCCTTAATTATCTCGTCCATCCTATGTTTTTGTCACTACCAAATGACCGATGCTGCACATATGCTTCATTATACCACATTCCTACTGTTTATTTTAACGTGGAACAAGTTTATGAATGAAATATTTAAGGTTTTTGTAGGCCCCCAATATACGCGTACCGCTAGGCCAAGCCTTACTTTCGTTTAGAGGGCAGCAGCACCAAGACGCGCTCAGCCACAAGCCGTGGACGTACAACATTGGTTGCCGCTTTGGAACTGGAATAAAGGGTAAATCATTCAATTGACTCAGATTCAGGCAACAATGTGCTAAGAAAACGAATACTATATAGGGGCCTATACATAGCATGAAGTGATTTAAAAACATTATTTTCATCACGATTGAAAGAAAAAGAAAATGTGGGTCTTCGTTTTGTTGGTCTTCGTTTTGTAGACACCCATATAGGGTGTCTATAAAACAAAGACCCTTAAGTATTTCTTGATATTCCTCATTTTATTCCGATGAAATAATGAATCTCAGTAGAGATACAAAAATGATAAGCAACAGCTAAAAAGTAAACGTAAGTAAACAGCCAGAAATAGAACCAGAGCTTTCGGACAACGCTAGTCCTTCCTCAGTGGCGAGTGAGTGAGGGTAGAAAAAGCTAGATAGTATAAAGGGAGAATTTCATGCAAGCATGATTGGAAACAATAGGCTGGGTGAGATAAGAATAAACAGCCTAAACAAGAAAACAGGAAGGCCAAAACTAAACTTCAGAGGCAAGCCTTAATAAATAAGCCAAATGATTCATCCAGAATAAATTGAAATGCCATTGGTTTAATTTAGTGTACTGGGAG